CTATCTCTCCGCAACGCATTTTGTCTTGCGCCTGCCACGAAATCTGCACATGGAGGTGCACAAAGTGCTGTGCCTGCCACGAAATCTGCACGTGGAGGTTCACAAAGTGCTGCACCTGCCACGAAATCTGCACATGGAGGTTCACAAAGTGCTGCACTTACCACGACATCTGCACATGGAGGTTCACAAAGTGCTGCACCTGCCACGAAATCTGCACAGGGAGGTTCACAAAGTGCTGCACCTGCCACGAAATCTGCACCTGGAGCTGGAGTTGCCTGGAGCTTGAGCTGTTGAAACCAGAGCTGGTCTGTGATGAGTGGTGTATGATGAGTGGTGTATGATGAGTGGTGGTTGAACAGCTGTTGAATGTCCGTAACACGGAAGTTTTGCACACTAAACTTCCTTTGATTATATAATCTATGAATTGAAAAGAAATATACATCAATACTACTCCGGGGAAAAACAACATCGACCAGAACTCAATTTCAAGTGCGCTTTAACATGGACCACTGGAAACGGTGACTTCCTGAGGAAACGGTATTAGCGTTTTTTTTGCAATTTCTCGACACTCACTAACATGGACCGTTCCCACTCTCAGTCTATGATCGATTCTGACACTAACATGGACCAAGTGCAATCTGACTAGACTGAACGCAGGCTAACATAGACCGCGCCGGTAGAGGTCAACATAGCCCGGTGGAGGCTAACATGGACCATGCCAAATACCCGTACGGCCCACCATGGCACATCGGAAGTTGGTCTAGGTTAATCTCAACGGTGTCCGCTCCGAAACTAGACTAACATACGCCCAATTTTTTGGGGGGGAGCAAACATGTTAGTTTTCACCGGTGTACAATCAATTGCAAAAGGAATCCTCCCCGGAAGCAGATTTGTTTTGGTGGTAGTTTATCATAGAGGGTCCCCCATTTGTATAGCTGAGGGGGGTGGGCCCTTTTACTAATCAGGATCCAACATTACATTTTTTTCGGGCAGTGTGTGCAACATCCTCCAGTCGTTTTCCGCTGAATGCTGAGAAAAGGCATGTTGGAAGGTTGGCTCCACTGTGTTGCAGCCGCCCCCGCCAATCGCGTTGTGCAAAATCAGCAAAGGCAGACTCCGACACGGCAGGCAAGGCCTGTGTTCAGAGCCTCTACAACTTGTTCGAGTCAGACACCTCGATCTGTTTTGGCCCAGGATATGCAGATTACTGGGTTGCCGCTTCCACCAGACGTCTCAATACTTGGAAGTCGCATTTCAGCGCGCAAACGGCGCTACTGTGGGTCTCTCGGATCAATCAAAGGGCTTTGGGAGAACAACCAGCCTTTTTGTCCAGCATGTAACGGCAACCTTGATGCGGTCTTCGAAGCCGGGACAACATGGCAGAAGTGGGACTGCAATTTCTGCAGCTTCTGTTCACCACATTGCGCTTTGGTTCGCCAATGGTGCATGGGTGGAGATGTTTACGCATGGATAGTGTTTGTTGACTTCTAAGATTCTACAGCCAACCCCATGAGTCGATGAGCCATCTCGAGTTTCCCTGCGTGGATCTAGGTGTTGTCCTGAAGTCCATGAAGCACGCAGTCCTCTCTTGTGCATTGCTTTTAGAGGCCAAGGAGCGCAGAATCTCACAACATGCATAAACGAGCGAGCACAGACATGCACAGTGCCTTGTAGAAGTAAATCGGTATTTCCCTGACATCTACAGCCAAGCAAATGCTGTTTCAACCCCTAGACTTGCCGAAGAACTTGCTCCCTAGCTCCTTGCGGCATGCACCTGTCACCTGCCTGAATCACCAGGAGCCGGAAGAGCTTCCAGCACCTTGGCTGGCTTAATCCAATGGAGACCTGATAGTAGTTCGAGCCTGAGGTCTAATGACACGCCTCACAGTTGTCACCGATTGAACTAAGGAACACCTGCTTACAACAGCAGTTGGAAACTACTTGGATCCAAGCAAATTTGCCTGTCCTGCGAGAAGAAGTGCAGCATAGGACACCTAGGCAAACATCCCTTCCGGCAAGAAAATACGCAGTTTCAGAGTCAAGAACTAGTTTTGATTTTGAGTAACCTTTGGCACGTGAGCTCGAAACTTGGGCAAAAGATGATAAAACATTGAGAAGCGCAGAAGAGAAGCAGGTGAGCCAGGTGCCAGATTAGCAACGATTCTGATTTTCCAATTTTGGAGTTCTTGTTTGGCGTTTGCGTCGGAAGACCGTTTGTCGGAGACCTATGGTTGTTAACGGCTTTTGTTGGCTGGATGCGCAGAAGTCTTAGATGCTCCAAGCTGCATCAACAGGTGTGACATTTCTAAAGAATTGTTTTTCATGATTGGACCTCCTGCTTGTGTTGAACTTCGGACAGTTGTTTGAAGCACAAACTTGTAAAGACTTCTTCAAATCATATGCTGAATAGCCCGAAGGGTGCCAAGTGCTTTTAAGGAAAAACACCCGTGATATTTATGGCACTTGCAAAGTTGGCAAGGCCATGTCTCACAAAGACTCAGCCCTTGCATAGAGTTGAATTTTCAAATGTTGCTTGCTGCATCCATGCTGAATACAGTCCTGATGTTAGTGCAACAGTCACGGGTCAAATCCAAGGCCAAAGATTGAGAAGCTTGCACGCGACGCTGGCTTGTTGCGTGGTTTGGGTTTGCGGATCTGGGTTCGATTCTGGGATGATTGCCATCGGACAGAAACAATTCTTTGTCCCCAGCTTTGCCATGTCAGAGGTGATATTCTTCAACAGCCGGTGCGCATCACGATCGGAGAAGCTGGACAGGAGCCAACAGCATCCGAACTCTTTTTTCCTATGTTCTGAGCCTGTTGATGTTCTTCGTGACCGAACAGGGGGCAACTATTTGTAATTACGTACAATCTGAATCTTAGAACCATGGCGAACTTGTACTGTAACTGCAACCAATTCAACGATCTACAGGCTATACTTTCAATTTGATTGTCTTTCTATTTTGAAGAATCCTGGTGTTTTGCGGGCCTGCTTGCTGTTTTCAGGCTGCTGCCAATGTGCAGCAGTTTGTGGATGTGCTGAAAAGCGAGGATGAGAAGTGGGCCGGGGGACCCCAGAGTGACACCTGTGACGGAAACGGCAAGGCTGGTCGGCTTTCGTCAGGCGTGGCTGTCGAAGCGGGTGGATGGAATGCTTCAAAAGGGCCAGGCAGGTGGGTACAGAGCACAAGCTTGGAGCATGTAAGAATCTTTAGCAGGGTTTGATTTTTTGTTGTAGTAGTTTTTTCTGGAAATGACTGCACCCCTGTGGCAGTTACTGGTCTTTGTCAAATCCATTGCTAGCGCAGAAGAGTCTGCCATCTCAGTGAGTTCCAGCACTTTACACAGAACATTCTACACTGTGTGTCCTGTTCTGGGCATCATTTGTGGCCAGCTTCTGCATCCCATTTGCATTGTCCATATTCCAGTTTTTCTCTATGTTAAGATTATGCAATTTCTTCAAGTAAAATATATGCACTGCGTCAGCATTGTGTTCCCACTGTGTCAGTCAGCATTGTTTGCATTGTGTTCCGTTGAAATCAATTGTCCTTTGAGGCTTTCCCAGAATTTCCAAGACTTTCTTGGGAAGAAGACGGAATTCCTTCATGGAGATCTGGATCAAGGTCCACGGTGTTTTTCAGAAGTGCATGACACTTTCAGATTGGCTCAAGTTGGCCATCATAGTGGGAATGCACCATCTTGAAACAATGGGATCCAGAAAATCATCGAACCGGTGGGATCGGTGATTCTGCAATAATTCTGGGCCTCTCATCTTATTTCATGCTATTTCTAGTCCCAGAGCTGGACTCGACCGGACTTCTGAGTGAGGTGAACGCATGCGAATCCTGAAGAATGTGCGGAAGCGATCCTTTTCAGCACCAGCGACAGCAGCATCAGTCTATTGTTGGGGGGAGGACAAGATGATGGCGTTGAAGTTGATGGTGGCCTAGCATAATTTGCCTACAAATCAGAGAATACAACTCTACTCTTACTGGGACCTGGACACATCTACAAGCGAGTTTAGTGCACTTGTTCACCCAGTGCAGTGCTTAGGAGTGGTTGATGTGCTTATTGCCACAGACGTTGCTGCCAGAGGCGGATGGAAAGCGGACCTTGAAGAGGAGCTACTACTAGCGTCCTTGCTCCTAGTAGCGATGCCCGGGTTCCTAGTAGCTTCTTGTTACTAGTAATAAGGCCAGGAGCTACTAGTAGCGTCCTTGCTGCTTCATTCAATCACAGCGGTAGTGGTTCTGATGCCAGTAGTGGACTTCGCTGTAGTGGTTGGGAGAAGGGGAAGGAATGACGAGCCTGGCCGTGCAGGTCTTGACTTACCTAGCATTTTCACTGTGGTCTCCTACGATGCTGCTCGTGATATTGAAACGTCCGGTCCTCAGCTAGAAGGCGCTGCTCGCCGGAATTTCTTTGGCTATATAAAGACACATTCTTGGGCAAGATATCTTCCAAGCAGATTGCTTTAGAATCTCTAATTGCTTCCTAAAAAGGTTCCTTGGGGATTCAACTCTTCACTAGTCAGCTCCTGCTGTGTCGCATGGGTGCAGCTTGGATGTGACGCAGTGAACCACATAGCCACAACTCCATCGTTAGCGTTTGGGGTGTTCCCTTTGTCCCTGGGCCTAAGGTTTGGCAAATCATCCTGTGATGCTAGAGATGAATGACCATGTGAACAGTGGTCACATTCATATTGGTACCTTCGGTTCTGTGTCTGTGTGTGCCTTGCGGGATATCTGGGGATCACCGGGATCACATTTCAAGGAGGGCAATGTGTTAAAGCTTTTTGCTTTTTTAAGTGTTTTTTGGCTTCTGTGTGTTTTTTGTGGGTTTTGGCATTTGTCTTTTGTGGTTTTTGTGGGTGTTGGCTTTGGTGGATTTTGGCTTTTGTAGCTTCTGTTTGTGGCTTTGCCGACTTTTGGTGGCTTTCTACTCGGATACAAGAGTAAAAAGCCACCTCACCCAGCTTTCAACATGGCTTCGTTCCGAAACAGTCATGTGTCCTGCAAAACCAGCAACAGTGGTATCTATCTATCCATTTAACTACTATCTATCTATCTATCTATCTATCTCGGGCTGGAAAGAGGAGTCCAAGATAGGTCTGTGAAGTTGAAGCGAAGGAGCTGATAGCCCATGATACAGTTTTTGATGTAAAAAGATGTATAATTATCAGAGGATCTACATACAGAGACCTCTTGGAAAGAGGAGAGGGTCCACGATAGACCGTTGAAATTATCACAGGATCCACATACAGAGACCTCTTGCAAAGAAAAGAGGGTCCACGGTAGACCGTTGGAACTATCAGAGGATCTACATATAGAGGCTGAGAAAAAACATGTAAAGGCAGAGGAATAATTACCTATATGGGGCAATCAATTTACGACTAGAAGAAGCGTCGGAAAACCATGTGGAAGGGCCAATTGGAGAAGAACCCAATGGAGAAACACAAAAACAATGAAAGCAAATCCCGGCCCCATTTTAAGCATATTCCAAAGGTAGTGGTACCATCGTTGTTCAACAGTCATCCATCGCTTTGTTTGCTTGATTGTGCTCTTCGGAAATTCCCCGGCTGGCTAGTTCCATGCGACAACTGAAGTCATTAGGTCCCATCCCGGTTTGTGCGAGTTATTTAGTATTCTTGAGTGATACATTGTTGAAATTGTCCTCAATTTTTTGCGTGCATTGTCAATTCTCCCAGTTCATTCGTTGCGCAGTGCAGCACGCAGTGTTACAGTGTTACACGTGTATGGAAGCCTTTGTTAGCATTAGAATCATCACCATGGAAACACTGTTCACTCAAAATGCGCACTGTACACAGAGACCTGCTGGTACCGGCTTTGCATTGACTGTCATCTCGCGCATATATGCCGTTTTGGCCGTTCAGACCAATCCAAGTTTCGATGGGCATTTTCGTCAAACTAAATCACTGTCGCAGTACCAAGTCCCTGTTCCTTGCTGGATGTTGCCAGCCTGTGCAGCACTCGGCAGGCATACACATCGCATAGGCCGCACGGGGCGCGCCGGTGCAGAGGGGCAGGCGGGATTTCCAAGCTCAAAGCACGGAGTATCTCCTTTAAAGAAATTCTTTTAAAGGCCGCTCTGCCCCCCACCTACTAGCAACGGCCTCCAACCTAAGAAACCTAAGATCGATGGCAAAAACCTACTAGCAATAAGAACGACGGCCTCCAACCTGCCTTTGTGCATTTCAGAAAACAAAGTCAGGGCTCATGCGGCTCATGATTCAGCAAGCTGAAGATGTGGCGACATTATGCTACATTAAACTATACTAAACTCAAGAAAGTCATTCCTGAGATCAACGTGACTGGAGTAGCTTTGTCCAGGCCTACACTCTCCTCACCAACGATGATCAGAACAAGAAGATGGCTGCTCTATTGGCCAGTGGTGCCCAGTGGCAACAAAACCACACGCACCGTGCAATGCAGCACCTTTCATTGAAGACTTACGATCAACGCTGTCGGCTGCACGCAAACACTTCAATATTCCTTTGGGTGCTTAGTGCTTCTACTGGTTCCAGGATGGTTCAACACTTACACCACGAAAGCCTATCGAGCTGTCATATCAACAGCTGCCAGTTTGTGCCTTTCAGGTTGAAAACTTGGAGCAAGCCAAGCAGGTTGTTCCCGAGGATTTGAAGGCTCGGACTCGGATCCTCCTGGTAGAACACAGTAGCCATTTTTCTGAATGTGGCTGCACTTATATATTTTTCAATGCCACTCTGGAGCGGATGTGTGTGTGTGTGTGTAAGCCGCTCTAACATGCGGATGTTGAACTATCGGAATTGAGAATTTTGAGAGCAGGGGGCATGCGGCCATCACGCAAACGCATGCCAACGAAGCTATGCGTGATGGTGGAAGCCAGGTCTGATCCGCCTGGTGTACCTGCTGAGTGATAACACCACAATCTTATTTGCTGTTGATTTCTTGACAAGTCAGTTTGCTTCAAACATATACCGCATGATCGACATGATCGACGGTGTCGTTCACTCACCTTTGACCTGTGTTTCTGAGTTTCAAGGCCACCTACTTAGGAGGTTCTGGGCTTTGCCATCATCCTATCGCTCCACAATCCTAAACCACTCCCAGTGTGTAGAGGGTGCATGCCAGATCTTGCGACACCGTCGAGGCCCCACTGGGAGACTATTGCTGGTACGGGCCTTCCCGTGGAAGTCAATGGACCTCACTTGGATGGGCTGCCTGCTTGAAGAGGTGCCTGATTTCTGCACACCACAGTGGCGTTGACTAGCTGCTGTCACGCAAAAGACACAGTCCCACGATAGACTGTTAATAGCTGCAATCATGCGCAGCTGCAAAGCGGCAGAAGCTGCCACAGCGCAAAGTTGCACTGCGAAGTTGATCCGAATAAGTGGGTTGAACTATGAGTCCGACTCTCAAGCTTTCTATTGACTTGAAAGAAAAACAGAAGTCTATTCTTCAGGCTTTAGGTTGCAAAGGTCGGCAGTCATGCATTTTAGAAGAGAACCAGAAGTCTTTTCATCAGGCTTTAGGTAACGAAGGTCGGCAGTCACGCATCGCAGAAGCAAACCAGAAGTCATTTCATCAGGCTTCAGGCTACGAAGGTCGGCAGTCATGCATTGCAGAAGCAAACCAAGAAGTTTATTCATCAGGCTTTAGGTCGTGAGGGCTGGCAGTCTTGGTTAAAATGCCACCCCTTGGGGGGCCAGTAGGGTCCTGGCATAGAACGCCTGGCACTTAATTGACATCGGGTCGTCCGGAGCTTAAGTTACTCTCAGATCTGGGGTCTGCTCAGACATTCGAAGTTTGTGCCTTTGATGTGATGGGCGCAAGGAACCCATTCTACGCCGTCAAAACCACCTGGTTGTGTACGAGGACTCCCCTCTTTCTAGGTTATCATAGTGTTGCCGTACTGCAAATTGACTCATCATTTCAGGTTGTCCCGACCTTAAAACTTTCTCAGATCTGAAGTCTGAGCTCCGTAGGGAGGGCCCTGTGTGTGTAAGCCGCTCTAACATGCGGATGTTGAACTATCGGAATTGAGAATTTTGAGGGCAGGGGGCATGCGGCCATCGCGCAAACGCATGCCAACGAAGCTATGCATGATGGCGGAAGCCGGGTCTGATCCGCCTGGTGTACCTGCTGAGTGATAACACCACAATCTTCTTTGCTGTTGATTTCTTGACAAGTCAGTTTACCGCATGATCGACATGATCGACGGTGTCGTTCACTCACCTTTGACCTGTGTTTCTGAGTTTCAAGGCCACCTACTTAGGAGGTTCTGGGCTTTGCCATCATCCTATCGCTCCACAATCCTAAACCATTCCCCAGTGTGTGTTTGGTTCGTAGATAAGGGATGGCTTTGATTGAGTGTCTAATTTGATGTCCTGATGGCTCAGTACCACGGGTGTTCTCGGCCAGCTCAAGTGTCTTTGTGTGTTTTGCGAGGATCGGCAACGTCCAAATCGAAGACACGGTATTGTCAAAGATTGTGACAGACTCAAGATCGGCTCATGACAAACTACTTTAATTGGTCACAGCGGATAAACTCATAGCAACTTTTTTGGCCACAGCTTGCGTTTGATAACTCGAATATTGCCATGTTGGCGCCACATCGCTAGGGTCTGGCGATGAAGTACGGCCCGTTTCGAGCCCTTTGGAAGTCCAGAATTTGGAGTCGGATATTGTATGGCGGGATTGACCTCAACATTCTTCAAAAAAGTCACTGATACTTGGGAATGGTTGTGGCCCAATACTTTACGTTTGACATGGGAACTGTTGTTGTGTCACGCGTGCTGTTGCTTGTAAGACCATTTCATTCCAGTTCAATTTCAATATTCTCTATCAAACATTATCATAAATCCTTTGTTCCCAATCCTGAAAATTCGGATTTGGTCCACTTCGTACCCAGGCAGCGAAGCTAGAGGGGCGAAGTTTTCTTGGCAAGAAGAAAGGTGGAAAGGCGGGACAAGAGTGGCCAGGGCCTTCATGGATTGGTAGCTGCAAAGGCCTTCAAGGGGGTGGTTTTTGAACAATCTTTGCTCAAACAATCTCAAACACATAGAGGGACAGGGAGAAGAAATAATTATCCTTTTGGATTCAATCACAATACTCGCTGAGTTAATCTTCCTTGGATATCCTTTCCGACGGGTTCGATTTTTTTGCATGAACTCATGAGTATATGATCACAACAGGGGTGTGCTACAGATGAGCGGTAAGACTGAGCCGAGCTGCGACTATCACATGGTTTGGGGGCCCAGGTTTTAATCACAAAGGGTCAGAAGTGTTGGAATGCTAGACCGTTCCGAATGGTTCTGTTTGAAATCACAAAGATACGGCCTTTCCAGTCTGAGAAGTCAGTCTTTGGACTTGGCTTCGACGCCACCTCGCGGCAGAAGGAGACAGTTCAGGACGGAATCCCCGCTTTGCTAACGGGAACCAATGCTCGGAAAACTCTTGAAATTTGAAAAGTGTTGGCTTTAGGAATCAGGAGCAGACACTAGAACCAGATTTGGTGGTTGGAGGCCATCGCATTTGGTTGGAGGCCATCGCTCTTAGGTTGGAGGCCATTGCTAGTAGGTTTAGGCCATCGCTCTTACGTTGGAGGCCGTTGGCTTTAGGAATCAGGAGCGGACACTAGAACCAGATTTGGTGATGTGGCAGCTGTATGTGTGCAGATTTGGCTGTGACCCACTTGAAGTGTTGTGCCAGGAGCTCGCCAAGCGGTTGGACAAAGAAGCCGACCAGTTGGCAGTAACTTGTCAAAATCCGTCAGCAAGAGACATCATCGTGAAAATATTGGGCATGGTGACCCAGGACCTTATAGAACATGCGCATGACAGTAATTATATTGGCAGAGTTTACTCATAGATGACGGAGAGGAAGATATATGCCGTGGCTTACTCTCAAGGTCTCTAGGGGGGCGGCCATGGAAGTGCAGGTGGCTGTGGTCACTTGCGCTTTCTCGATCGGTTGGATCGTACGGTCGACCTGGAAGGAACAGAGCCCCGTTTGTCCACCGTGCCACTGCCATTGCACTTTCGAGATCCCAAGCGGACCGCATAGCTTTCCATTGTTGCTGGGATTGGGCATATTGATTTGTGCATTGTTGGTGGCCCTTGCCTGGTTGAGTTCGAAGAATTTCGAGTTGCGTCGGTCGGGAGGAGGATCGCCTAAAGGTGGAAAAGGTGTGCAAGGCCTGTCAAGCCGTTTCATGCAGCTTACACAATGATAGCTGGAGGGATGGCTTTGGTGAACTATGGCGAGCCAGGTCCCATCTGGCATTGCAGAGCATTGCTGGCCCACGCTGGCGGTTCAGAATGGGCCGTGCTGACACCAGACCATGATGTGTACATCGAGGAGCTCTCCTCGACCAACTCCGACTTCACTGGCTTTGTTTACTGTGGAGAGAATGGGGCCGTGCCACCACACATCAACCCGGCCCATGTCTACGGCTTTGACCCTCTTACCCCACAGGAGTTGGGAGCCTTTCGAATGCAAGGTCAAGTGCTTGCCAATGCCCATATGCATGCTGCAGGTATCCATGTTCCTCCGGTTGCAGCGCCAGTGCCTGCTGCAGCTCCGGCACCTGTGGTGCCCTTGCCAGGGGCTCTGGGGGCGGCTGCAGCTGCCCCGGCTGCTCCTGCTGGAGCAGCTGCTGCCCCCGTCGCTGCTGTTGTGGAAAGGGTGGACACTTGGGTTGCTTTGGAGGAGGCTGGGCCTTACAAGAAAGGAGATGTGGTGGCTCGGGAACCCACAGCCCTGCCCGCTGGATCGGTTCACATTGGCGAGCGAGGAGTGGTTCCTGCAGGTGTTGGGAGCATCTTAGTGAAGAAGGTGAAGCCTTCAGAGGCAGCTGCATATCGCATGGAGGACCTTCGAGTGCTGCCGATCAAGTTTGATGCTCAAGGTATTCGCCGCCAAGAGTTTCCCGCAGCAGTGTCTTTGATGGATGATGCAGAGCCTTCCGGAGGTGGGATTCAGTTGACTGGTCCCCCAACGGCTCTTAAGATCTTGAAGGATTTGAGAGATCAAGCATTCACTCCGAGCACATTCCACGAGCACTGGATGCGGACCTCAGACATTCCCAGAGGAGATCGCTCCACCTATGAGCATGAGTGCCTGTCTCGAATCTTGGAGAGCATGGTGATGGTCGACCAGCTGAACGCTCCAGCCCTGCAGTCAGCTGAATTGTTGCGCCGCAGGCTTCAAGTGATCAGAGAAGCCCACCGCATTTCGCCTGGACAGCCTGACTACAGTGCATCTGATGTGATGATGGGTTGGAAGTACAGGCGCAGTGGACAAGGCATTGACTCTACATTGGCTGCACATGTGGCAAATGAGTTGAAAGCTGAGGCAGCCATCGCGAAGGAGGCCAGAAAAGCTCGTGAGGAGCAAGCAGCCCGCCGTAAAGGTCGCAACCCGAAGAAAGGCGCGGCCGAAGGCGGGGGGGAAGGATGAGCGACTATGAGGCTGGCGGTTCAAGGGCCAGAGCTGACCAGCCGAGAGTGGAGGCCCGCTGCATGAGCACAGAGAATTCACCCCATGGAGAGGCTCAAGGCCATGATGATCGGTGGAGAGAGCTTTTTCCTATGCCTCTCTGCCCTGAAGTTCCGAGAGAGGCCGGGCTGTCGGTGAGTGCGCGTAGACGTCGAGCTGCCGTCCGTTCTAGAGTGGACTCTGTTAATTCAATCATCAGAACCTTGAATGAGATGTACTCTCCTAGCCGAGATGGCGATTTTTCACATGGTTTCGTAAGGACTAGAGCACAAGAGGCATGTCAGCACGAGCTTTTTAGGGCGGTGGCCAACACAAAACCACTGTCAAAAGTTTTGAGTATGCGTGAAGCTGTTCAAGAGCTTCTGCGAACAGACCTGTCCTACTCGGGCGAGGTTGCAACTACGGTGCGTCCCTACGACAGAGGCCTGCTTTCGATTCCGTCGTGTGGCAACCAAGCCGTTGTTTTGAGCGACGTGTTGGATGATGTTGGCTGCGAGACAATCAGGGACCCTCATCGCTGCATGTTGTTGGACGAGGAAGGTATTGGGGCAATGATGGAAGAAAATAAGCCAATTCAAACTTATATGGACCCCCTTCTCAGGGACGACATTGGTTTGTATTGCAACTTTGTGCATGATCTGTTTGAAGCTGGCATGATAGCTTTCACAAATAGACCTCAGGGCTTGGTAACCCCCTTCTTTGTGGCCAAGGAAAGCTTCGTTTGATTTTGGATTGCAGAGAAACAAACAGGATGTTCAGAAAGCCGCCTGTGTTGGCAGCCAGAACAGGAGCTTCTTGGTATCAGATCAGGATCCCCGACGGGGAACAGTTGTTTGTTGCACAGTCTGACATTAAGGACTATTTTTACAGCTTGCAGTTGCCGGTAGATCTCAGAGCATTGTTTAGCATGCCACCTATCCCTGGTGCCCTGCTCCGACATTGGAAGGTGAGTGCAGAACTCGGTGGATCCTTGAACACGGACGACTGGGTGCATCCAATGCTACGAGTGGTGCCCATGGGGTGGTCGTGGGCGATGTGGCTGTCACAAAGGGTGCATCAGCATCAATCGCAATTGGGGGCTGGGGTATCTTGTGATAGAGTTTTGGTGGATGGAAAACCGGCGCCAAGCCTCAGCAATGGCGAGGTACTTCTGCTGCCCTATGCCGACAATTTGAACGTCTGTGGCATCAATGCAGAGGCAGTGCAAAGAGCGAAAGACAGAGCAGTTGCAAGGTTGAGACAAGTCGGACTGACAGTACATGAAGAGATGGATGCAAACAACACCTCACAATCTTTGGGATACATGATCGATGGAGCAGTTGGCCAGGTGACACCTATTCCAGAACGACTTCATCGAGTTCAGCTGGCCTTCAAATGGCTCTCCCGCAGGCCCCGAGTCACGGGAAGAGCTGTGCAGAGGTTGTTGGGACATGCAGTACATTTCATGATGCTGAGGAGAGAGTTGTTGAGCATTCCACATCATTTGTATGCTTTCGTGCAACAAGCAAATGGTCGATGCAGGTTGTGGTGCAGTGCGGCAGTTGAAGCCAGATGGATTGGCGAACTCTTGCCTCTCTGTGCAACGGACCTGAGAAAACAGACTAGTGCATTGTTGACAGCTTCGGACGCTTCGTTGTCGGGGGTTGCAGTTTGTACTAGATTAGCAGATGAGCAGTCAGTCAAAACTATCGGTAGCTACAGGGAACGTTGGCGCTTCAAGGGCCGCAATCCGGTGAATCGACCTCGGCAGAACGCTTTAGGGGTTTTGGACCCGTTTTCGGACATTGCTAGCGTAAAACCGGTTGGACATGTCAGGGATGACCCATTTGAGCTGGACAACCAATTCCCCGAGGTGCCCAAAAATTTGTTGGAAAACAGTGACTGGTCTTTGCGGTTCTCTCAACGCATGGTTTACAAGGAACATATCACATTGCTTGAGGGAAGAGGCATTGTTGCAACACTTCGACATAAATTTCGGAGCATTCGTCATTTTCATCAACACCATGTTCATTTGGCAGATAATCTTGGCATGGTTTTGGCTGTTGACAAGGGTAGAAGCTCTGCCCCTCAAATGTTGAGGGTATGTAGGCGCATAGCATGCCTTCTCATTTGCACAGGCTCTAGCCTGACTTGCCGCTGGATCCCAAGTGAATCTGAATATCGCCGATGAAGGTTCTCGGTACTGGGAACATCTCAGGACAGGGAAAACTTCTTCCAGCAAGCAAACCTCAGAGCACTGGCCAAAAGAGGAAACCAGTGCAAGTGGGTTGGAGCAACAGACAGTCCCTGCGCAATCAGTTGCAGGGAAACAACAGAGAAGAAAGGGCAGACAAGCGACAGAAATACAAAGAGACAGTGAGCCAGATTCCTCGTTTTCAGGGTCAGTCTTTTCTTGAGATGAATGCAGTTTCAGAGGAGGTGGCCTCGGACTACAGGATTCGCATGGCTCGTTTCAAGGCATTTGCCAAGCTGGAGCAGATCTCTCTCCGAGGTCAAAAGAACTTGGACAATGCATTGAGCGCCTATCTCAACGAGATGTTCGAAGATGGGGAAGACACAGGGGAAGCCACAAAAACCCTCGCAGCAGTGGTGGACAGCGTCCCCGACTGCACCCAAAAGGGGAGCCTCCCACGCTCCCGCAGATGCTTGCAAGGATGGAACAGGTTGGACCCAGGGTCCACAAGGCCTCCAATACCTTGGGAGCTGGTGGCCGCAATCGTGAATTTCATGCTGGGAAGACAACAGATCAACGAAGGGCTTCTGGTGTTGCTGATGTTCGACGCCTACCTCAGACCGGGCGAGGCAATCAGCCTCCATCGGAGCGATCTGGTGGAGCCTACGGTGCAGCATCCAGTGTTTTGCCTAAACCTCAATCCCTCCGAAAGGGGCGCCAGCTCGAAGACGGGGCTTTCAGACGAAACAATAGTCCTGGACGGAAGGGAAACACCATGGATGGGCTTGCTGCTCCGCAGACACCTGGAGAGCCACAAGGCACAAAAGTTGTTTCCAATAGAGTATCGGCAGCTCAAAGACGCTTGGCAAAAGGCTCTTGTCGGCTTGCAGTTGTCGAGCAAACATTGTGTGCTTTATCAGTTGAGGCACTCAGGGCCTTCGCACGACAGGATGACCAAGGCAAGGAGCCTCGGGGACATCAAGAAGCGTGGCAGATGGTTGAGCGACTCTTCGGTTCGGCGCTACGAGGCAGCAGCGCGTTTAAACCAGGAGTTTCAGAAGTTGCCCAGGCCAGTTCAGACAAAGGCTTTAGCTGCTCCTCAACTCCTACAACAGTGGGTCCAAAGCTTTTTCAGCCGGAAAAGAAGAAGGATCTGAACAAGTGGGTGTTGGAGATTTTCAGTGGCACAGCACACCTCAGCAAAGCAATGGTTCAACAAGGTTTTCGTTGTGCAGCCTGGGACATTGACTATGGATCGGGTTGTGACGTGCTTCAGGTTGAGGTGTTGAGAAACCTTTTGAGTTTTATTTCTTCACATGACGTGGTGCTCATTTGGTTTGGCATGCCATGCCAAAGTTGGACCAGAGCCAGGCGATGGGACGGTGGACCACCGCCTCTCAGAGATGATTCTGAGTTTCTTTGGGGCCGTAATGGCTTGTCGGCTACAGATGTTGAAAAGGTGAGGCTGGGAAATGTCCTACTATGTTGGACAGTTGCTATGGCCTCGCTTTGTGACAAGTTGAGCATTGCTTATGTGATAGAGAACCCAGGCAGTTCAAGATGTTGGCTTACAGCACCCATGCAGTTTCTTTTGCGCACAGCTTCCCTCAACTTCGTGGATTACTGCCAATATGGGGTCCCCTGGAGGAAAAACACGGGACTCCTCCATGCTGGCATCCCCAATTTGGCTGGGACGCTCCGATTGTGCAAAGTTTTGAACGGCAGATGCAGTGCAAACCACAAAAGACACATCATCCTGTCTGGAAAAGATAGTCATGGCATCTACTGGACACACAGGGCCCAGCCCTACCCGCCCTTGCTTTGCCGCCACCTAGCACTTCATGTGGCCAGTACACTATAGTGGGTGTTGGGAGGTATGAATCTGCTTGGTGTTTTGAGAAACTTCAACGTTGAGCAGTTCGG